AATCTTCTCTTTTGGACAGGTGGTGTCCTTTTAGTACAGATCTTCGAGGGTTCACTGTATTACAGGGCGTCCTCGCTTAACGTCGGTGCTACGTTCCTGAAAATGCGACGTTATGCGAAACAACGTTAAGCATATTAATTTTCCCCTTAATAAATAGATCAAATACAGGAGTTACGTTCCCCAGCCTCCCTTTGCCCATGAAAGAAGTTACATATACAGAAAATGATTGCCATTTCTATAGAGAATCGTATATAGAACTAAGTTTGTATTGGTACTCACTGATGGGCAGAGTTGGTAGAGTGTGTGGTGGGTAGTGGAGCGAAGAAGGGGATGGTAGGAGCGGAGGAAGGGGGTGGGGGAGCGAGGAGGCGGAGGAGGTGGGAGGCGGAGGAGGGAGAGGAGGAGGGTGTGAGGAGGCGGGGAGAGAGGGTGGGGAGGAGGGTGGTAGAGGAGGAGGGTGGGAGCGGAGGAGGGCGGGAGCGGAGGAGGGTGGTAGAGGAGGAGGGTGGTGAGTCACTGAGTCTCTCTCGCTGCCTCCTCCTGCTCTGACTGGGGTTCCTCTGCTGCTGCTTGCTCCTCCTCCTCCTGCTCTGACTGGGGTTCCTATGCTGCTGCTTGCTCCTCCTCCTCCTGCTCTGACTGGGGTTCCTATGCTGCTGCTTGCTCCTCCTCCTCCTGCTCTGACTGGGGTTCCTATGCTGCTGCTTGCTCCTCCTCCGTTGATGTTTGCTCCTTGTCCGTTGTTGGTGGGAATGTCTCGGCAGCAACCGTATCTGAACTAGCAGCCTCACCAGTCATCTTTATGTTGTGAAAATTATAACGCAGCTTAAATCGTTGAAACCAGCCTCGGCCTTCACCCTCTGTTTCCTTTATGTTGTCAAACAAGGATCTGGCCTTATGCTGGATAACCATAAGGCTCACAGGGGCATTGCGTTGATTCTGGTCCTCTATCCACATTGCCAGCATCTTTTCCACCTTCTTTATCACAGTGCTTCTAGTACGAGTCGTCTTAGTAGCACTCAGAGAAGAACCACTTCCAGCACTAACCTTAATCTTGTCAGTGTTGGTCAGGATAGTACGCACCGTTGTGGGGGTTAGACCAAGCACAGCGGCTCCGTCCACAGCATGTTCCCCTCTTTCAAATTGGGTTAATACAGCCATTTTCTTAGCAAGAGTAATGGTCTTACCCGTTGCCTCTTCACTACACTAGCATGAGCAGTGCTTGATGGGCGCTTGGAAGCCATTTGGAATGGTTTTAGTACAGTTTTAGAGCAAAAGCACATAAGCACACACGAATGATGTGAATTCGTAACAGAGACTGGCTTGGCATCGCTTGAGGACGCTGTGACGTTCCGCGAGTGAGGGCGTAGCGCGGCCAGACAAGAGCAGGTGATGCATCGTAGAGAGTAGTCCGTGATGATGCAAAACGACATAGTATCGGATCACCGGGATATTAAACAAATTTTTGGTCTCTAAAGTTCAGCAACGTAGTACTAATACAACTTTAAGTGGGACGACGTTAAGCGAGGACTTACTGTATTAATATTATTATTAGTGAGAGTAGTAGTAGTATTTATTATTATAATTATTATTATTATTATTATTATTATTATTATTATTATTATTGTAGGTTAGGTAGATTAGGTTAGGTATAGGTAATACAGTACTTTAGTTTAAAATGGAATTTTGTGAATGATCCCAAAGTGTAGTGTGAATGATGAATATATCGAGTACACTACAGAACATGCGATATGGTATTCAGGGAGCATCCTAACTGCAAGCAGTGCGTGGTGATTAATGGCACAAAATCGTCACGCGTATCTATGACAAGCGGGGTACCATAAAGCAGTGTACTGGGCTCATTATTGTTTGTTTGTTTAAATGATGTGGTAGAAGCTATACACTCCTTCCTCCATACAAATGTTTCGGACAATGCCAAGTTATTCAGGGAAAATAAGAGCCAGATGGACTGTGAAAAGTTGCAGAAAGTTTTCTGTCAGCTTTAAGGGTTGTTTAAGAAAGGGCTGTTAAGATATAATGTCACAAAGTTTAAGAGAATGCACTTAGATTATGCCAAGAGTAAGGAGGCGTATCACATGTCCCAACGGGATGAAGAAACAGCATTAACATAGACCGAATGAGAAAAGGACCCGAGTGTGTACATTGACAGTGAAGTTACGTTTTCAGACCATTGTGAGAAGGTGAATCAAGCAACTAAGCCAGTAGGTCTTATAATAATGTCGTTTAGATATCTAGACCACTGGTTCCCAAACATGGGGTCGTGACCCCGATTAGGGTCGCAAGTTGCATCATAAGGGGTCACATAGAGGTCATGGGGTCGATGGGGTCTCATAAAGCTCATAGTCCAGGTGACAAGGACTGAAGGACGTGGCCGACAGGTGCTGTCTCATGATGTCGGGACCATAAATTATGGTTGAGAGAATAATGCAGTTACTCTCTTTGTGTCAAGTCAGATGTGTCCAAGGAAGGTGAATGCTGATGACACGTTACACAGCAGAAAATTCACACTCCTATCTTTGAACTGTTCACAGCTCAATGCACTCTGTGCTTCCCATGGATGCAGACAAAAAATGGCAGCAAATTTCAATGATAGATTCCTTGAGTTGCTTACTGAGTCTTTGGATTTTGTTCAGGTTCTGTCCAAGACGGATGTAAAACAGTGTGGCTCTTTTGTCCTTGAAATAGCAGAATTACAGGCTGACAATGAGGCAAGGGTGATTTTGCCATCTATGATGACATATCAATGTTGTGAGTTATTTATCAAATTGACATTCACCGGTTAAAAATCAAGCTATCAAGGTTCTGATACAATTTGGAAGTCTGTGAGGCAGCTTTCCCGTCAATGATGTTTATAAAAAAATTATCACTGTAACCGTATATCAGACTTAAACTTAGAGAATTGTGTGCTATGTTTTTACTCACCTCATTATACCCCCAGTTCACAGAAAATTTATTAAATGATAATACACACACGCTAGCTAGGTAGTAGGTAGATAGGTAGTTACCAAACAGGGAGGTACTACCGCCTGGGAAGATATTGGAAGCATAATGTATTGACTAATGGTAGACCCTGCTGCAATATGGCATCACGAAAATTGTGACCAAGTCCCAGGTTGCTGATCTGACTTTCTGCCTCATTTACACACAGTTGCAGGGTTTCAATTGTTTCTCTTACCATTGACAACACAACATACATACAGTATATTGTTTCTCACTCTTGATCTTTTTTTATTTTTGTATTTCTTTATGGTTCTTTATTATTATTATTGCAGTTAATCACCATCTTATAAGAATTCCAGCAATGTAAATTGTATTCTGCCTTGGTCATTTCTGAGTTTTATGAGCTAAAAACAAAAAATCAAGTAAATAAACAAATTATACTTCACCAGACGCACTATCTTTCAATCAAAATACACTCACCTCCCGCTCCCTCCCTCCCTCCCTCCCTCCCTCCCTCCCTCCCTCCCTCCCTCCCTCCCTCCCTTCCCAGACAAAAGTTTGCCGTTTTCATTAGGCTTTAAAGTGTTTATCTTATATAATATCTCAGACTAAAGTTAGGAGAATATAATTTGTATTGCTGGAATCGTTGTAAGACAGCGAATAATTTGAATATAAACGTCATATATTTTGCACAAGAGATAAATTTAATCACCTGTATCACATTACAGTAGTGATTTTTTTGTTCTAGTGTATATGTATGATATATATAGTGATTTAAGGGCGATTTAGGGGAATTTTAGGAGTGTTTCTGACTTTATGCATTTTTGGCTTTACTTTGCATATACATTTTTGTGAGCTGGAACCAATTACCCAATATCCCATTGAAACAATGGTTTCGGTTAACGAAATTTTTGGTTAACAAACGACCCTCTGGAACGAATTGAGTTCGTTAACCGAGGGACCACTGTAAACATGTGTGTCTTTTATTTTTATCTTAAGTTAACTAGTTTTTTTTTATAATTTACTGGGGATTTATTTTAATATATGAGAAAATTAATAATTTTCTTGTTACTTTTTACTTTCACTACAGTACTTGAGTACTTTATGATTGAGATACTGGGTACTTATTTACTTTTACTTGAGTACATTGAATTTTGGGTACTTTTGCTTCTACTGTGTGTGTGCACGAATATATGTGCGTATGTTATTGTATATTGGGGTAAATTTTATATAATACTAGGGTGCTGATACACACTGGTGCAAGTACAGATACATTCTGGATCTAGTATTTGCTAGTGATGTGGAACAGAGACGTGACTGACCGCCCAAACGGCCAAGAGGTATAAAAAAAAACAAGCAAAAGTAGTATACTCTAAAATTTCAGTATACAGTGAACCCTCACTTTATGCAGTCAATTGAACCCACGGCGGCCCGCGTAAAGTGAACAACATAACATATGGGATTAATTGAAATAGAGACCGGGCCGACCCCCAAACTCCACTTTTTCAGACACAATACCTACGTTGTAGTAAAAATAACTTCTTAATTTTATGATGGTATGCACACACAATTAATAATTAAGAGAAATATCAATAATATTAGGTTTATTAACACTTACATTAGTAGAAAAGATGGCTGGGCACACGGGGATGGGGGGTTGGTTCCGAGGCAGAGGGCCGATTATTGGCCCTCACCTGTATCACTTGTATCAATTGTATCACTATCCACCACAGAGGCTTGCAGGGCCTCATTGTCAAACCCCTCAAAGTCCGTATAAGTCCATATCCTCACTATCACTGACTTGGGCCGGCTGTGGTGGGTGGCGGGTGAAGAACTCGGTAATGTTTTGATGACTGGGCGACCTTGTGAGCACCCTGCTCGCGCCGCTCTCCGCATAAAATGGTACACACACCGTGGAAAGTGAGCATTCCGTGTTTGGCAGGGTACCGCGTAAAAGTGGAAACGCGTAAAGTGGGACCGCGTAAAGCGAGGGTTGACTGTACAGTATTACATATAACACTTTGTTTTGTTTATTTCAGGGCTGAAGTCTTCAAGAACGGGGGAACAGTGTGAAGCTATTTCCAAGTTTCCGGCACTATTTGAAAAATATCCCTTTCCTATTTTAATTAATTCTGCTCTGTTGAAATTGGCAGAAGTATTCCGACAGGAGACACCAGGGTGAGTTTTTCACTATTCAGACCAATACTTTTGTTAAATCATCTTTAGTAATCCAATAGGTTCTCTGATTTGATCACTATTTAAATATTTTTCTTGTGGGTTTTAGAATATGTACATGTATAATAAGCATCTACAGTATATCTTTCAGGGAACCATAAATATTTCACTGAACACAACCCAGATATACAGCATATGAATAAGGAAAAACTTAGGTGGTCTGGAGGTGTTATAGAACCATTTTAAAGATAAGCTCAGATATTATATGGTAATATACTGTAATAACTTGTACAGTCATGCGCCGGTTAACGTCCAACCGAACAACGTCCGATCGCGTATACGTCCGTGGCCCAAAAACACTTCCGTGACGCCTGCTGGACCACCACTCCACGACCCCCTGACGGAGACACGATGATCCTCCCATACTGGCCAGATATTATGTGTTAAAGGAATATCCTTCCTTAGGCCTTAAGCATTTGCCTCCAGGTGTAATGTTAACCTACATCTATTGAGGATAAAATCTTTCACCTACAAATTGACAATAACACATTTGCTGTAATCAGACATATCTAGTTGACTCAACAATTGCAACCCCAGTTGCAATTGGGGTTGCAATTTCAAATTCTGTGTCATTACTAAGGAATAACAAAGTCTCTGGTGCACTGCACTCTAAGATTAAGAGAAAACGGACTCAGGCGTCCTCAAGCGAGAGAAAACAGACTCCTATGATAGAGGACACAAGCACTCACACATGCCACTTATACTGACAGACTTGACACTCACTTACTTGACAAGTTTTACCAACCATTAGTTGTGTACATTATCTAGTGAATTTAGTCAATATTGTACAGTACAAGTACACTGCAATACAGTGGTCCCTCTGTTAACAATGGAACAAACCTGTACTGTGCATGTACTAAATGATTACGGTTCTTAAATTGTTATGTCTATTGCAAATATAGATTGTTTATACAGGTATTCAAATAAATCACTATCTTACAAGAATCCCAGCAATGTAAGTTATATTCACCCAGGTCGTTTGGGTGGCAAATTATGAGAAGAGCTTAGTCTTAAGTAATGATAAATAAACACGCAGGCCTTCAGCGCCAACTGTCAAATCTTATCTCAAATAAATAAACAAACACCAGACACTCTGTCACCTCACCTCACCTCCCCCCTCCCTGTTCCTCCCACTCTTCCCACGCTCGCTGGCTACCTCCCTCCTTGTGTTCCCAGACAAAAGATTGGTGATAACTCTATGGTTTAAGGTGTTTATTTTATATAATATCTCAGACTAAAGTTAGGAGATTATAATTTGCATTGCTGGAATCCTTGCAAGACAGCCAATAATTTGAATATAAACATCATATATTTTGCTCAAGAGATAAAAATTGTTGTACATTAGTGTACAATACTGTAATACATTTTATAATATAAAGTTTTTCAACTGTATTTTTGGGTAGATTTACATAAATTTCTAAATTTATTTTCATCCATTTACATGCACACACCATACTAAAGAAACGTAATAGAAATAAATGACCTTAGTGCAAAGCTGGAGTGCACATGTATTAATTTGATTACGGTACTAAAATTGTTGTCTAGTGCAAATTATAGCATGTTTATATTCAAATTAATCAGTATGTTACAAGAATCCCAGCTATGTTAATTATATTCACCCAGGTCATTTCACTGGCTTTTTATAAGAGAGAAGCTTAGTCACCTCAGAACTGATAAATATACACATGTTAGACCTGGGCCTGTGCCAACTGTCAAACGTACTACCTCCCCTCCCACCACACCCCCTCGCTCGCTCCCACCCTCTCCCCCATCTGCCCAGCATTGATGGAATCCTTGTAAAACAGTGAATAATTTTAATATATATGTCATGTATTTTGCACAAGAGATAAAAATTAATCACCTGTATCACACTACAGTAGTGATTTAAGAGTAAAAATGTATATGCACGTATATAGTATTCCACATACACGTAAGTATAAATACAAAGTTTATGTGATGATCGGTCAACGTCCATTTCGGTTAACGTCAGGTTTCAAGAACGTATCTAGGACGTTAACCGGCGCATGACTGTATCTGGTTACAGGGGATATCTTGCTTCCAAATCTATTAGCTTTTAGGTAAATTCTTAATTATACCGCAGTCAACAGAGTTATCACATCGTCTAACCTTTGCACCAAACAGTTTTATCACCACTGTATTTAGCTATTTATTGTGTAAAAATAGATACTCTCACATTTTCTTAACTTTGTGGAAGTTCAGGTTTCATTTCATTTTGTGTTTGGGTTGACAACATAAAAATGAAACAGTAATTCATAGGACCATGTACAGAACAGTATACAGTATACCTGTACTAAGTGTTGATAAATTATTTATTATTTTTATTATAAAGCATCACATTTTTATGTTGTGAGTCATTAAATTATTTTTCTGGAAGATTTAGTTGATATGTCAAGTGAAAACAACAAATATTTTGAGGTGTTTAAGTGATTTTCGGGATAATATTTGGAATTGGAATTTAATTTTAAGGTAAAGTTTGATATGTGAATCTATTGCAAGATTCACCATAGCTTTAGTTCATTTACTATTGGGGATTTTTATAGTCTATAGAAACAACCTTGCGTACAGTATTGGGAAAAAATATTATAAAGAAATTGAAAATGTTGTGTTATTGATGCCTTTTGTATTCTTTTTATTTCAGGAGCAACTTTGTGCGGGTTTGTGTGGTGGAAGTGGTGGAGTCGTGCGGACGCCACTTGGACAAGCTCATCAATGTGGACGAGTTCCTCCGACGCATCACCACTGTCATGCACTCAAATGATCCGGTTAGTTTTAGTCCGTCAGATATAAAAGCAGTGGGACTGCTGGAAAGATTTACCTGTACAATATACAGTATAGTCTCGTATACGCCGTCAATTAAACCCGTGGAGGTCCGCGTAAAACGAGAAAAGCGTAAGCGAAGTAACAGAGCATATGGGATTAATTGAAATAGAGACTGGGCCGACCGCCAGACTACCCTTTTTCCGACACAATACGTACGTTGTAGTAAAAATAACTTCTTAATTTTATGATGGTATGCACACACAATTAATATTTAAGAGGTATATCAATAATATTAGGTTTCTTAACACTTACGTTAGTAGAAGAGATGGCTGGGCACACGGGGATGGTTCTGAGGCAGAGGGCAGATTATTGGCCCTCACCTGTATCACTTGTATCACCTGTATCACTATCCACCACAAAGGCTTGCAGGGCCTCTTTGTCAAACCCTTCAAAGTCCATATCCTCACTATCACTGACTTGGGCTGGCTGTGGTGGGTGGCGGGTGAAGAACTCGGTAATGTTTTGTTGACTGGGCGACCTAGCATGCACCCTGCCCGCGCCGCTTCCTGCGTAAATGATGGAATGTACCGCATGACTAATAATTGCCGGTCTGGCCAGGTGCTGCATAAATGACCAACCGCGTAAAGGAAATCCGCGTAAATCGAGACTATACTGTATGTCAAGAGTGTAAGGTAACTGCACCCAGTAATTGTTTTAGCAAATAAAAGCCCATGAATATATAACTGACTCACTGTATCAAATAGCTACAGAGAACCTCGTTATATCATTTTTGTGTCTGTTTAGGTTAACTTATCGTACCCAGATTTTTGTTACAAGTCACACACCACACACACACAAAAAAAACCAAAACATGGGAATTAAGACAGCAAGCATCCACGTGAAGCTCTTATTGTGTGACTGCCTGGTGGCAAGTTAAAGATCAGCTGTTGAGAAGTGCCTGACAACACACTGGGGATATTACCACTCTCTTCCACTCCATCTCTCTAATCACCCACACCTTTCTGCTTTCTCACTTCATATTTTAAAATGCTTTGTAACATAATGTTGAAGGGATACAATGTTGCTAATTTATACAGTGGACTCGCAACTTATGCAGGATTACGTTCCTGGGACCCAGCGTAAAGCCAAAAAATGCATAAAGTCAGAAACACTCCTAAAAATCCCCTAAATCGCCATTAAGGCCAGAGTTGGGTCATTTTTATTTTAAAGCCATTATTTACTTATGGATTTGAATGTAAGTTTAACACAGTAATGGAGCCTACTCAATGAGGTTTCTATTTAGGTTTCATGAAAATCGGTCAAATAGTTTTTTTATTAATATACCCGTATACAGTGATCCCTTGGTTAACGAGCGCCTCGGTTAACGAAATTTTGGTTAACGAATTACCTTCCATAAGATTCTTCACTTCGGTTAACGAGCAATCCCTCGATTAACGAATTCCTTACAAGCGCCCCTCAACATGTTTTCGCTTGCTCACTAGCTGTCGTATTAGTCCGCCAATACAGTAATCGGTTCTAGGGCTTAAATTCCTTACCATTTTAGTAAATATCAAGAAGGTTGTACTATTCAATCATTTTAAAAGTTTTATATTAAATTTTTTAGTAATTTTAACAATTATTGAACATAATTGAAGTACAGGAAACTAGTTTTATGCGCACCAAACAGCCACTCAGCACACCAAGCTTGGCGTCAGTTTGTTTACAGGTTCAGAGGAAGGAACATCTTGTTTGAGACTCTTCAACATAAACGCTTTTTTTCTGTGTTTCCAGTCAAATTATTGGTCATTTTGAAATATATTTTGCATACAGTACATATTGATAATATATAGCGCAGTGCAGTGTTGATTTGAAGAAAATAATCTTGAATTACACCAAGTGAACTAAAATTTCATGGGTGAAATGGCGCATGGGATGACTTCTCTTCCACCCCAATGCCTTCTTTTCTCCCTTCTCCTCCACCCTCACTTCTAATTCCCATCATCATCAGCATCAACCAGGAGCCTTCTACATGCACACCTCAAAGTAAGTGTACTTTACTGCATTTATTTTTCATTTGTATGTAATTTTCGGTGAGCTGGAACCAATTTCCCAAAAACCCATTGAAACAATGGTTTCGGTTAACGAGCAACCTTCTGGTCGAATTGTGCTCGTTAACCAAGGGACCACTGTATATACAGTACAGTAGTACCCCTTAACGCGGTCAATTGAACCCACAGGGTACCGTGTTAAGTGAAAACCACGTTAAGTGAACAACAGAACATATGGGATTAATTCCAATAGAGATTGGCCCGACCCCCAAACTCTACTTTTTCCGACACAATACCTATGTTCTAGTAAAAATAACATCTTAATTTTATGATGGTACATGCACACAATTAATACTTGAGAGAATTAGAGAAATACAGTCGCCAAGTTAATGTCCATTCAAATAATGGACCCAACTCCCTCCCCCTCTTCTCACACTACACTGCTGGCTCTTCCCTCTCTGAGAAATTTTGGGGGAAAACCACTGGATTTTAATAAATAATACCTCAAACTAAAGTTAGGAAAATATAATTGACATAGCTGGATTCCTTGTAAGACCAGGAATATTTTGAATATAAATGTCATATATTTTTCACAAAAGATAACATATTTACTCAGAGTAAACATTATATCTAAAATTTGTATGTCTAATGCAAAATCTATGATGTTTATATTCAAAATGATCATCAAATTGTAAGAATTCCAGCAATGTAAATTATATTCTGGCCGGGTAATTTGTATGAATTTTATGAGCTAAAACAAATATCTTCAGTTAATAAAAAAAAAATAATAAACTTCGCGACACTATCTGTCAATCAAAGTACCCCACCTTGCCTCCCCCCCTCTTCCAACCGCGCCAGATGGTCAGTCCGTCCCAGCCCTCCCCCCCACCCCCCACCAACCCTCCCTACAAGAGAAATGTAGGGTGAAAAAACTAAATTTTAACATTTAGTAATAAATAATACCTCAGATTAAAGTTAGGATAATATAATTTACATTGCTGAATTCCTTGTAAGACCAGGAATATTTTTAATATAAATGTCATATATTTTGCACAAAAGATAACATATTTACTCAGAGTAAACATTATATCTAAAATTTGTATGTCGAATGCAAAATCTATGATGTTTATATTCAAAATGATCATCAAATTGTAAGAATTCCAGCAATGTAAATTATATTCTGGCCGGGTAATTTGTATAAATTTTATGAGCTAAAACAAGTATCTTCAGTTGATAAAAAAAAAAATAAATATTCTTCACACAGTGCCAGATGGTCTGTCGGTCCCTCCCTCCCCCCCACCCGCCACCAACACTCCCTACCAGACGTGTGGGAAAACCAGAATATTTACCTTTTTAGTAATAAATAATACCTCAAACTGAAGTTAGGATAATATAATTGACATTGCTGGATTCCTTGTAAGACCAGGAATATTTTGAATATAAATCTCATTTATTTTGCACAAAAGATAACATATTTACTCAGAGTAAACATTATATCTAAAATTTCTATGTCTAATGCAAAATCTATGATGTTTATATTCAAAATGGTCATCATATTGTAAGAATTCCAGCAATGCAAATTATATTCTGGCCGGGTAATTTGCATGAATTTTATGAGCTAAATAAAATAAAAATTATACCTCACCGCGTATATGGGTAGATGAACCGCGTTAAGTGAAAGTTTGGTTCTAGCGAGGCACTGTGTACAGTTAACCCTCACTTTACGCGGTTAATGTAACCCGGAGGGTACCGCGGAAAGCGAGAAACGCGTAAAGTGAATAACATAACATATGGGATTAATTGAAATGGAGTCCAGGCCGATCCCCAAACTCCACTTTTTGACGACACATAACTATGTTGTAGTAAAAATAACATCTTAATTTTATGATGGTACATGCACACAATTAATACTTAAGAGAAATAGAGAAATACAGTCGCCAAGTTAATGTCCATTCAAATAATGGACACGACTCCCTCCCCCTCTCACACTACACTGCCGGCTCTTCCCTCTGAGAAATTTTGGGGGAAAACCAGGTATAGTAATAAATAATACCTCAAACTAAAGTTAGGATAATATAATTGACATTGCTGGATTCCTTGTAAGACCAGGAATATTTTGAATATAAATGTCATATATTTTTCACAAAAGATAACATACTTACTCAGATTAAACATTTTATCTAAAAATTTTATGTCTAATGCAAAATATATGATGTTTATATTCAAAATGATCACCAAATTATAAGAATTCCAGCAATGTAAATTATATTCTGACCGGGTAATTTGTATGAATTTTATGAGCTAAAACAAATATCTTCAGTTAATAAAAAAAAAATAATAAACTTCACGACACTATCTGTCAATCAAAGTACCCCACCTTGCCTCTCCCCTCTTCCAACCGCGCGGTCAGTCCCAACCCTCCCCCCCACCCCCCACCAATCCTCCCTTCAAGAGAAGAGTGGGTGAAAAATTTAGATTTTAACATTTTGTATTAAATAATACCTCAGATTAAAGTTAGGATAATATAATTGACATTGCTGGATTCCTTGTAAGACCAGGAATATTTTGAATATAAAGCGTCATATATTTTGCACAAAAGATAACATACTTACTCAGATTAAACATTTTATCTAAAAAATTTATGTCTAATGCAAAATATATGATGTTTATATTCAAAATGATCACCAAATTGTAAGAATTCCAGCAATGTAAATTATATTCTGGCCGGGTAATTTGTATGAATTTTATGAGCTAAAATAAAAATCTTCAGTTAATAAAAAAAAATATTCTTCACACGGTAACAGATGGTCGGTCGCCGGTCCCTCCCTCCCTCCCCCCACCCCCCACCAACGTCCCTACTAGATAAATGTGTGGGAATACCAGACTGTTTACCTTTTTAGTAATAAATAATAAATCAGACTAAAGTTAGGATAATATAATTGACATTGCTGGAT